ATGAAAGACATGGGGGAGGCTGAGGTAATTCTTGGTATAAGAATTAGAAAAGGAAACAATGGGATTTCAATTTCTCAATCTCATTATATTGAGAAGATATTGAAAAAGTTTAACTTTGAGAATTGTTCTCCTGTTAGCACTCCTATAGATCCTAGTCTTAAGCTTCTACCTAATAAAGGATCTCCAGTGTCTCAACTAGAATACTCAAGGGCTATTGGTTGTCTAATGTATGCCATGATTAGTACTAGGCCTGATATAGCATATGCTGTGGGAAGGCTTAGTAGATATAATAGTAATCCTAGTTCACATCATTGGCAAGCTGTGAGTAGAGTATTCAAGTACTTGAAAGGGACCATGAATTATGGTTTAACTGATAGTAGATATCCTTCTGTTTTGTAAGGTTATTCAGATGTCAGCTGGATTAACAACTTAGAGGATCACTCCTCTACAAGTAGTTGGGTGTTTCTTCTTGGAGGATGTGCCATTTCTTGGGCATCTAAGAAACAGACTTGTATTACTAACTCAACCATGGAGTCTGAGTTTGTTGCATTGTCTGCTGCTGGTAAAGAAGCTGAGTGGCTAAAGAATTTAATTTATGAAATTCCATTATTGCCCAAACCGATATCTACCATTTCTATCAGATGTGATAGTGTTGCAACCTTGGCTAAGGCTTATAGTCAAGTGTACAATGGAAAGTCTAGACATTTAGGTGTTATACATAGCATGATTCGTGAGCTCATCATGACTGGTGTGATATCTGTGGAGTTTGTAAGAACTCATTTGAATTTAGCCGATCATCTAACCAAAGGGCTAGCAAGAGATCTTGTGCACAGCGCGGCTGTAGGGATGGGTTTAAAGTCCACTTAAAATCTTTTATATTGAGATACCCAATTCCCATCTAATGTGATATTAGATGTTGAATTCAATGTGGAAAGCTTGATATTTGAAGATTGGAACACATTATTATCATCATCCCAAGGTATGTGTTCAGTACTGCAAGTAAAGGAGGTTGAATTTATATTCTTAATAGTTATTTTGAAAAATTGCATTTGCAGGTGCAAGAATAAAAGGACTACCTATATAAGCATGAAGTTTAGTTGCTTCAAGAAGTTAGGACTTGGCTTTGATATGCTTATTGAAGGATGGGACACAAGCTAGTAAAATATAGTGTCAAGTTAGAACTTATGAGAATGTAAATTGTTGTGTGTATTATCTTCATGTATTCACTATGGATAGAAAGGGTTCAATCCTTAGTGACACCCTGATATTCGAATATTTGTATTGTGTAATATACTAAGGTGAAATTCAATCGTCACGATATTTCATTTATGCATCAATTTGTTGGTGTTATGTTTCATTTTAAGTTAATCAAGATTACCCTTAAATGGGGGAGGTTTGTTGGTGATTTGTTATCATCAATATTATTTAAGTGTAATGGGATACTTTGTTGACTAAAAGTGATCATGATAAATATTAAACAAGTAAGGAAGGTGTGGAGTACACAATTGTTTAAGTTTGATCAAGTTTTCAAAGTACACTGTCATTTAGGGGCGAAGCCCCTAAACGAACGGGGGTCCAGGGGCAGCGCCCCTGGGAGCGGGGTCCAAGGGGCAGAGCCCCTGCATCAGAAAATCGGATTTTCAGAGAATTGACCATTGTTTGACCCTTATCCAAACTTCCGTTTTTATGTTAGTTTTTATAGTTTTATGATAGCTTGAAACTGTCATATGACAGTTTTCAGACAAAGATCATAAAGTCGATTTTGGTCTCATTTTCTGGTACATACGAAACTATCATTAAAACATTCTAAATTCTAAAATATTGGGAGTACCACCCAAATGCTTTAATCTGAAAGTGTTTTACACAATTCTCAGAATTCCAAGCCTTATTATACCCCAATTTCTAACACTTTCTTCCTTGAGGGAAGACTTTGTAACTTTTCTATGTCTTCCTCTTTTGCTATGTTATTTTTAGAAAGATATTATATTTCTATTTTGATTTATCATTCGACTTTGCCCTTTTAAGCTAGTTGTTAGCTAAGAATTATTTCATGTTTTGATGCAGATTTACATACATGATATATGGTTGATGATATGAAGTTATGGATGAGCTCAAGTTGATTTTTGAGAGTTCTGACCTTGGCTTTGACTTGACTAACGAAAGAAAAGTTTGCATTGATGGAGAGGTATGCCATGTGACTTTTTAATTTTTATTATTGTTATTTTTTTTTATAGAAAAGCTTCCACTCTAGAATAAATGAACAAAATGCAAGGCAAGACTCAAGAGGCCATGAAAATTGAAGACTGATTTTTTTTCCTCTTTCCTTTGTTTTCCACACAATTCATATTTCTTTCAAACTTATCATGTTATATTTTGTGAAATCTGATGCATTTTTTATTTCTTATAGGTGATTCTGAACCTACAAAGATGTTGAAAGAACAGCTAATCTATCAAACAATCAAATAATCAACTACAAATGTAATACCCCTCAGATAAACAATTAGCTAATCTATATATCCCAATTGACTTTTAACCCTCATATACAAGTATTATTATTCTCAGGTTTATGATGAAGGGTAAGATACCCCCGATCTTTGTAGAGAAACAGTTAAATTTGTTTCCATAAGGGAATTTCTTGTTAGCATTAACTTGTTACCCAATGAGTATATTAAGCTATAAATAAACATAAATTATATTATTGTATTATTATTTGTAGATCCAGTGGCGGATGTATTCTTCTTCCTAATTGACAAATCAATTTGTAAATGGGTTAAATACAAGAATTATCAACCAAAAAGTGACAACTTTTTATGGTCACTATTTGGATAAAATAGTGACGACTTTTTATGGTCACTATTTGGATAAAATAGTCACGACTGTTTATGGTAAGTAATTGGACAAATCAGTGATGACTTTTTATGGTCACTAATAACATAAAATAGTGACGATTTTCATTGATTAGTGACAACATTGAGTGACGAAACGGGTCGTTACACATTAGTGACCAGTATATTCTAGTCACTATTTAGTGGCCACCTATATATTTTGGTCACTAAATCAGTTTTGTGACGGACCTATAGTGACGAAAAGTGACGACTCTTTCTATTGTTAGTGACCATTTCGTTTTCGTCACCAATTGGCGCTTTTTTTGTAGTGAGTCTCGTACGAAGCATCGTTTATCTAACAATCACGCGTTCAGATTTGATGTATGCGGTTAGTCTTCTATCCTGATTTATGGCAAATCCCAAGGAGGAACACATGGCTGCAGCAAATCGTGTATTAAGATACGTTAAAGGCACCAAAAACTTTGGCCTGCACTTTGGAAAGAAACTAAACAAAAAGCTGCATGTGTAAATAGACAATGACTATGCTTGTGACATAGAAGACCGAAATTGCACCACAGCCACAACATGTGCATGTCATTGTGTTTGGTTAAAAGGTCTACTTGAGGAACTTGAAGAGAAACCAATAGGAACTGTTGAAGTCTCTTATGTGATAATAGCTCGACCATAAAACTGTCAAAGGATCTGGTGTTACAACGGAAAACAAAACACATGGATGTTGGATTTCACTATCACAGAGACTTGGTGAATCAAGAAGTTGGGAAGCTTGAATTCTGCTGCTCCGAAAAACCGTTGGATGATGTCATGACTAAACCATTGAAGTTGGATACCAGCGAGATGATCAAGGAGCAGATTGGAGTGAAAGAGGTTAAACAAGAAGCTTGATGCTCTGTTGTTTGAGGGAAAATTTGTTGCGCTATATTTATTGGGCTAGTGTTTTTCTTGAGTCCATTTTAGTTTTATGTTTGGGCCTCATAACCTGGTCGACTTAGAATTTTGACAGCTTACCTGGTCAGTCATTGTCTTTCGTTTGAGTCTAGATTGTTCCGTTCTTAGCTCCTGTTTTCCAGTTTTTCTTTTGATACAGTTTGATGTAATGGCTGTAAATTAGCTGCTCCTTCGTGAATAAGAGATGAAATTCAGTGCCAATTGTGTTCAATATCGCTTTGACATTCTTCAAGTCTCATGTAAGTCAATTTTCAAATACTAGGTACTTGTTCAACAACTTTTAAAGACGGACTTAAATTTCACTAGAACAGAGAAAACGAGACATAATTGAAGGCAGCGATTAGTGAAGGGGGAAGCTTACTGTGATGAGAAACGGACTTCAGGGACCTGATCTGTGTGACACAAAAGCTGGAATGGCGGTTAACGCAAATATCTCACCTGGTATCGGCTGACCTCCGGCTACAAAGGGACACATTGGCGTCTTGCTTCTTGGAAGTTTGATAGGGTAAGCAATGAGTATGTAAGCGTGTGTTGGAAAGAAGAGAGAGAGGAGAGACAATTCCAAGAAAACCAAAGGATTTTAATTTATGTCTCAGTCTCACGTTGAGTTCCTATATGGTAAACCTTCCGTTTTCCTTTAACCATAGGTAAAAAAAATACTAAAATTTTTATTATTTACAAGATTGAAATCTTAAATCTTCACCCATCTTTATTTGTATATAATGGAATTAAGATTAAGTTCTGAAGTTAATTTTCATAAAATTTTGAACTTCTGTCGCAAAGTTTTTCTATATTTCCTGGCCAGCAATGGACCAGATTTGGATGTTTAGACTAATAACAACTCTTGCTAAATTAATACATGGGATAATGACTTAAAAGGGTAATATATTTTTCGACTTTTACACATTCGGTTATTCAATTTTTTTTCCGTCCACAATTACCCTCTCAACTTGTTAAATATTACTTATTACCGGCTACTCCAGGATAAATGGTAAAAATGAAGGAAAATTAAACCATTAATCTATAGAGAACAATTAATGATTAGAGGGTAAACAAAGTGGACGTGCTCGTTATATATCTTTATGCAATGTTGATTTCTTAGATTAGAATCTGTAAGGAGGCGCCACAGCTTATAATAATAATAATAATAACAATAATAATAATAATAATAATCCTTTAGCAGGATGAATTTTATTTCACAGATTTCTCGGTGAACAAACACATTTGGGCACCATACTTTTATATTTATGATATTAAACACAATATTAAACTTTAGTGCATGGTGAACACTGGCAAACACCATTACAACAATAAGGCAAGTGAGTTCGGCAGATTGGTTCACAGAATCCAAAAGGACCACACCCTTCTCTGTTCAATCCTTTGTCAGCCAAAACAGATGAGGCAAACAAACCTGCAAAGCATATTTATTCCATTAGATATAAACAGAAGACATGATGGTTAATGGAGTTCTAGCTATTGAGACAAACAAACCACTACATACCTGACATGGAAAGCAATAACATGACCAAGAACATCATCTTCAAATTTTGCTCCATGTTTTAAACGATCAATGTAAAAGCAAAACCAAAGGAGTTAGTTTTCATCTGCATCAAAGTATTCTCTTATCGTCATATATATATGCGTCATATCTTCTATCAAAATTAAATTGTCATAAATGCTAATAAAAATGGTCAAATATATTGTTCCAATCATGGATATTCCTACACTAAATTATCTAAAGGATTGATTATCATTCCAAATATAACAAAAATAAAGAATATCAGTTTTCCAATTAAAATTAATATTGTTAATAAATAAAAGAAGAAATCAATAATATCTGTGTGGTTAATTTGTTACTATGTTAGCAATAAATTTCCCTAATGAAGAAGCCCAACTCCATAACCTAACGAGTAACCAGTTATTAAAAGTAGTCAATTATCGTCCATTTCTAGCCCACCAGTGATTGGAACTTGAAAGAGAAGTGCATTTTTGAATGCCTAACTGAACGTTCAAGATTGGATTCAGAAGCTGACGGTCCCTCCTCGACTGTTGTTTCAAACATACATATGTAGGCTCACGAAAGCATATGCTAACAATAAGGCTTACAAAACAAATATATGCTACAAGTAAAGGTGCACCAGCAAACCGGTTTTTAAAAAACTGCCCAAAAATAGCCTGACCGTTTTTTTTTTGTTTTTTATTTTTTTCATAACTGGTTTTGGTTTTAGCATACCAGTCGGGTCTAGACCGGTTTTTCTTATATCATTCTATCGATTTTTTGGACCTGGAGTTCTTTTACCATTCTTTTAATAGTTTTTTCCAATGTTTTAAAAACCGGTTTTTTAGTTGAACATGTATGGTGACCGGTTTCCGGTTCGACCGCTGAGTAAACCGGTTTCTATAATTTTCATCTTTTTTCGTATTTTCCTACACAAACATACATACACAAATCAAGAATTTGATGTCCACGAGTTCAAACATTAAAATACATAAGAAAACAAGTTGTAAATCAATCTAAATACATTAAAATAACTCATAACCATAAGTTTTACATCAATCCACATGCATTAAAAAGAAAATAAAGTCCTAGATGAATATAAACGCATCAAAAAACTTCATAACATTTATCATTTGCTTTTATTCAGAAAAATTTTAATAAATGTGAAAAAACTACCAACGTTTATTATGCAAAAGGTTTCAACTCCATGTGTTTTTATTCAATTTAATCGGTTCAACCGGTTTAATTGAACCGGTTCAACCGGATTTTTGTAAAAACCGGCCGATTCAGAAATAGACATAAAACCGATGATAGTTGAACCGTTCCCTTCCCCGATTCCCGGTCAAACCGGTTTGACCGGCCGGTTCAAATCGGTCTTTAAAACATTGGTTTTTTCTGTTACCCTTGTTGAAGGGGAAGAAATGGGGAAATGGCTCTTTCAGCCATATTGTAGTTTTGGTACGTTTAGTGCCCATATTTGACTATATTACCCTTCCAACTGTTACTTTAAATATGTTTTGATATATTTTGTTTCAACACCTTTCAAAAAAACGCTTATTATTCACTTTCATTTACTTGTGACATTTAAACCATCTTCCATGGAAATGCAAAGTCATACTTAGCCGTTACCGCACATTGGGTTTCGTCCTGAACCATGGCGACCTAGCTACCGAAGAAACGGAAAATTGAATTTAAAATATATGGTTATCCCGATATACTGCAAATTAAAGAAAAAATTTACAAGATTTTATGGTTGAATATAAATTAGAAGATAATTTTTTTCTATATCACTCGATGTTTCAAACAATACAAATCCATTGAACAACTACAACTATGACTTAAACTACGACTACAACTAAAAATTTACCTTTGGTGCTTTTTTGTGGTGTTTTGGGAAAAAATGAAGATCAAGAAAGTTTATTTGGTTGCAAAGAAATTTGTTACAAGTTTGCATCCAACAAAGTCACTCCATTTCTAGACATGTGTGAGTATAAAGTTTATAACTTGCTCTTTGGATTGTTGATCTCATTATTGGTCATATTATATGCTTTTTGGTCCATTGTGTTTATGATCTTAGAGTTGAGATGATTTCAGCATCTTTTGAGCAATTAGGAATGCTCTTTGGACCTTTTGGACATGGAAAGGTTGCATCTTGTGCTTGTCCTTTAAGCATGCAAGTAAAATGATCCTTTACGTCATATTTAGGTATTAAAGTTTATATCTTGTTTGTTTGGAATGTCCTTATAGATAAAGTTTGAAACTTTATCCATTAATAAATAATTAAGGGGAAGTTTGGGGATTGGGCTTAATGGATTAAGTCATACTTTATGGGCTCGTATTGGTAGGACGCGGGGTAACATTTATGAAGGTGGCACGCTTTTTGCAAAATGTGTGGTCATGTCCGTTTTTGAGTTGAGACTCAATTATTTTGTCTTCTTGTGAGCACTTGTCGACTAGATGGGGGCACAGACTACCTGTTGACCAAAATGTTGACTTTTGACTTTGAACGATGAAACCTGACTTTTGACCAATTTGACTTTTAGGTCAAGTCTTGACAAAGTTAAGTAATTGATTATGGATCTGGTCTCAGTTTGGTATTAGGTAGCGTGTGTTAGATGTTTATGTCGTTGCTATTACTGGTGAGCCTTTGTTGTTTAGATCAGATGTGTTTTTTCATTATACTTTACACCACATCATTTATCCTTGTGTGTTACAATGATGTCATGTAATAGCGATTTGTTGGGCAGGTAGACTATTTTAGACAGTTACATGTTGCTATATTGTTGTTGATCGTTTTTTATTACATGTATATCGACATATTCTGTGGTGAGTTGAGGCGGTCCAACTTCGTGGTGAAGGCCAAGATACTTGGCGGAGCTTTGTATTGTAGGCCAAAGGGTGGACCAATTATTTGTTGATGGTCGGGGCAGACCAAATTTACGCAAAGGCCAAGGGGCAGACCAGTTTCATGTGGAAGGCCATTGTCTGTATGCAATTTATGTATTGTTGTGTGTGGTATTTTAAGAAACTCACTAAGCATTATACTTGCAGTTGTGGATTAAATGTTTTTCAAATATTAATTTTATCGTGGTTATGCGATAGTGGGATTGTATACACATATCAAAAAATTTATGATTTGAAATTTCTCTTTGCGTTTCTTTATAACTCTGGTTTTGAATTATGATTTATGAACAAATGCTATCGTCTTGAATATATCTTTATGAAAACATGTCTTTATTCTATTTTTAAAATGAAAAATTTATTTTGAAAATTTGGACTTTACAAGTTGGTATTTGAGCCTTGGTTTGAGGGATTTGAATGAACACTTGTGTGACTTCAAACTCAAACTAAGGATCTGAAGATTTTTACAAACCTTTTTGAAAAGAATGTTTTAAAAGGGGAAAAGAAGATATGATCTGTATAGTCAACCAAAGAAAGAAAGTAAGTGATGCCCAAAATATCCATGCATTTTGATATGTTATCGTATGAATTGAATACTAGAAGTTAGGCTAAGGATCTGCTCAGGCTTGCGAGCTACAATGCTTGCTTAGGAGATATGCATTTTGTTCATGTTATGTGAACTGTTGGGGAGGTATGCTAGTATATAAGCTAAGGGTCTTTCGTAATTACATGTTAGAATTGTCTGATTTTTTGATGCCTTATTGGCTGGTGGATTTGTTGCTCGAATGTTGTTTTCTTTGTTCTATGTGAAACCTATATTGATATTAATTAACCATTAATCGAATATGTTAAGTTGTATGCCACACAAATAAAATAGTTTTAAAATTCTTGATTTTGACTTGTTGTGTAGCTCCTTTTGAGTCCAAGCATTGTAGAGCAGGATCTTTCAGTTAAAAGAGTGTTTAATATTTGCTGAATTTAATTGTATTCGTAAGATAGTTAGTTTGCATTGGTAAAAGTTTCTTCTGGGGCTGATAGCAAGGTGGGATGGGAATTCCTAGTGACCTATCAAAAGTGTTGGAATGTGCTTGTATAGGCACTTAAGTAAGAGAAATACTAGAAGGACAATCTAGGAGAATTAGTGGTATGCACTAATTCGAGCGTGGGTATATATGCTCAAAATGATTAGTAGTGTTCATGAGTAGTGACTTCGGAACCTTGATACAATTCTTAGGACGAGTACATATAGGTGCATAAGGTAGTATGGGCCCGTACTACCGGAAGCACAAGATCCACATAGGGATCAGGAAGATTCAAAGGGTTACTAGGGAGTTGATTAATGATATGTAGTGCGGTATATCACTAGGGTTGGTTGTATCCTGTTATCGTCTCTATTGATCTTTCAGTTGTGGTTACCCTGGATGAGGATGATTTTTGTGCTTATTCGGGCCTAAGTAGCCATGGCAGATTGGGTCTGATTAGTGCAGACCTCTGCGAGTTGGTTTATCCTAAGGTCTCAAGGACCTTGTTCGAGGTAGTACCAATTTGGGTCATGGGACTCGGGAGGAATAAGTTGTAATGATTGATTCGAGGATTGTAAGCTTTATAAGGGTGGTCGGCTGTTGGCTTGGGATTTCGTTCATTACAATAAGGTTATATTTTTTCAACCTCCCGTGTTTAGGGGAGGAGAGATTGGATTCATATCACCCGACCAATAAAAGAAAGGGATGCCACTTCCAGCATTAGTTTCTGGAGCAAAGAGGTAAGGGTCGGTTCGTTGTGAATCGTTATTTTTACAGCAAAGGGATGTTTGAGAGTCGATTTTTCTTTCGGTTTTGTGGTTGAGATGAAGACAATGTCGCGAGTTGAAATCTCGACCCAGTTTTGAGAATATCGGGTGTCTCTGATATAGATCGAGAAATTGAATCAAGAGACCAGACTAGATGTCCTGTGGAGGAAGAGGGGGCTAGTGGCGGTCAGGCACTACTGATAGATAAGATAGTTTTATTTTCATGTTGGCTTTGTCAAATCACTGTTAGAGCACCTGCGTGAGATTCTTGAAGTTTTAGTGAAGGGTGAGGTTCTAGGTCATATCTGCTAATATAATTTTGATTATGCGAGGTTTAGTTCTTAGGGTGCCTCGTTAATCAAAAGGTATCCTTGTCGAATTCGCTAAGTATGAAGCGGTGATGATGTGGATG